TTTTCGGTCGCTCTAAAGGCCCCTGGAGCAAACACCACGCATATATTCCAGTTAGGGAGGCTGATGGCCCTTTGGAAAGCATCCTTGGGGCTCCCAGAACTTAGGAGAATGCAAGCAATTATCACAATCGGATCCGACAACAACTACCCTATGGCCACAGCGGCTGTGATCCCATGAGGTGGAGGCTGCAGGCTGCGTTTTTCCCCTTTTCCTCTTCTCTTTTTTTCYCCAGCGTGCTGCTGCGGAGCTGCCGGCGCGCCAGTCACAGCGGCTCCATTGTCTGCCGGCACCTCSGAGCACCGGGGGCTCGGCAGGCAGGGAAAGGGGGCAGTCAGGGCGCGCGCGCCCTCCCCATGGCGCTTATCTCCCTGCAGCCCGCGGCGCGACAGGCAGCAGGGCCGCGGCCAGGCCGCGCGGCGGGACACGCCGCTCCCCGGCAGCCCTGGCCAGGCAGGAGCCCCGCATGGAGCCGCCGCTTCCTGGCCCGGCGAGCAGAGAGCAACGGGCTGAGCCGCTTTGCGGGGTGCTTCCTGACCAGCAGCGTTTTCCCTATAAAACCTCTGGGTAAGGCCAGATTAAAGCAGACTGCCAAATGTTCTGAAAAGAAAAGCTGCCTGAAATGCATTTTTCTGTCTCTTGTGAAAGGGGGGCCAGGCAGAAGCACGGAGCTGCCCCAGGCGCCGCTGTGGGACCCCAGCCCAGAGCACCTGGTGCAGGCACCGGCTGCCGAGATGCTGCTGCTGCCACGGGAAGCGTCAGGCAGCAGCGGGGCAGCTCCAGGCCTCATTCAGGTGCTGCTAAAAACTGAGAACAAACTTTACACTGGAGACTGATTCCTAGATGCAGTTGCCATTTACTTTCACAGAGATATGACCTGGGTAGCATTTCTCATTTTGCTGAGTTTTTGTAAAATCACTGACAGGGTAAGATATATTCTAAATATTTAGTAAATAGAGCTAATAAATAGCTATATTTATGATACAGCTTCCAAAAGTAGCCAAGGAGGACTGTACTTTTTTCTTGAACAGCTACAACAAAAAAATCAGAATCCAAGGAAATGTTTAAAGGCAAAGATTCAGGCAAAGGCAAAGATTTTTTTTTCCCTATTATTATTATTAAAAGTTAAAAAATAAAAAAAAGAGCTAAAATCAAAACCAGAGAAGCGCTAAAGTGTACTGCACAGCTCCTTTCCACGCAGACATGCAATTCCCCGGGTGTCAGGATAGATAATAAGCTATATTTAGGGATCCTCTTGCTCTCTGGTTTCCCTCATTGTCACTGTTCCTGTTTGGTTACGTAAGGGCCTGGCAGCTGCTCACAGCACTGCTGGGTGCATGTTTGCCTGAGCTGCACTTGTAAATATATCTGAGTCAGGATCTGCAGCTCATCAGCAACAGCAAACACAGACAAGCTTTGCCAGACAACAGCATCCCCAGAAATCCATGTCGCACTTTGGGCTAGGATGTCCCTAAAAATATAACGCACAAGGCAGGCTGATTTGGGCATGAGCACTTGATTTGGGCCTTTTAACAATCCAGATTTCCCCGAGGATTCCTTCCAGGACAGCCACGTGCGCAGGCGCGCGCGCTGCAGCGAGATTTGCTTCGTGCTGCCAATCCAGAGGTGCTCCTAAGAACCACGTTATCACTGCTGCTGCTGGGGAGCAACTCCCCCAGCAGAACAGAGAGCCACAAAAGCCTCTCACTGAACTCATATTCCCCTGGACTTTAGCAGCTTGATAGTTTTCAAGAAAGCATTGCCATCATGCTAAAGAAAAAAAAAAACCCTAATATTTAAATTTTTATGTAACTGCCTTCCCTCTGAGATCTCCCCCTTCTGAGACAGTGAGATATCATCCGAGTATTTGCTCCTGGAATGAGTCCTCAGAAAGCTTTTCTTCCAAGCACCCACATTGCAAAGCAATCTCTCAGTCAGGGTCTTTCCAGAAAAAGTGCCATTTATCACCTTAATTACCTATTTCCAAATACTGGACTTTCAAGTGAGTAAAAGCTATGTGCCCATGAGTTTTCTGACCACAAGTGATGCTGATTATATGGCACTGCATGCTAAGAAAATGCTAATTGGGACCTTTACAAATGAAAAGCACCATGATCTCGACACGTTCTTCATTTTTACTTGTCTTCCTGAGGAAAACAACAAAGAAAATTAAGCTTCATCTCACGCTCAGCCTGGATACAGAGCCAGTGCTTTCAGAAAGACGTTTACTGCTACCTTTGAGTTAGATTTCCCAGGAAGGAGCAATTCCTGGACRTGTTGCAGCCTCAGCAGCGCGGCCCCAGGCGAGCGGCGCACCAACACTTCCTGCAGTCACTTGTAGGCTCTCTGGGCAGAAGTGGCTCTGGCCGCAAACTCCTGAYTGCTCTGGCAAGACCTTCACAAGCAGCCATTAAAGAAAATGGCAACATGAAAACACATCATACAAACCCCCCGCTTTAGGGCTGGTTGTCTTGGCAATCCACAAAGCACCAAGGCTGAACGAGAGCAGCCCAGTGAGCAGAGCACTGCAGGAGAGCAGTCAACATCAAGTCAACAGAGCCAGCTACACTTAGCTGCACACTGAAATCAAATCTTGAAAAAAAAAACAGTGAAAATGGACTTGTTGAGCTACATAATCCTCAGTTGTAGAACTGAGATATGCTAAGACTTCTACTGACTTGGAAATTTTATTCCACCCTCAGTTATATGACAGTAATAAACCTAAAAAATAGTTTATCTGCCCATTAAAACCAGAGCGTCCGTGTCTGTAAGCAGGACCCGACCAGTCGGTGAGGCAGCGACAGGGGATCCCTGCCCTGCCAAGCWGCTCTCTTCCCAAGGGCATCCCTGCTTCCATGGGCCAGCGCTCACCCTCGCGTGCCCAGCGCTGCRCAGCTGCCACGGCTTCCACCAACGGGCAAGGGCAGCGGCGGCATCAGCTGCACATCCCGCTGCACAGGCCATTGCAGTCTACACTGTGCATACATAAATGGTGCTGGAAATGCCAGGGTTTGGGCAGTYTCAGGAAATAAAACAGAAATTTCTGGTTCTCTCAGCCTGCAGTATGTTTTCTGAATGCCTATTCGCTAAACTCGTAACAGTAGAAGATGACAAATTGGCCACAAATATTTGCAAGGCTTCAATACTTGATGTTCTGGAAAGTTTGAAGCAGGTCTGATTATATAGCACTCCTGAACGGCCACATTAAGATTCAGGTATTAGGAGAAAAAAAAAATCTTTTCCAATAGCAGCTAAAAGCTGGTAGAGCCCAGCTCAAAGTATCCAGAACAAACACTGTGCATAAGAAACTGTATAAGAAACACTATTGAGTGTGGGCTCTTACAAAGCTATTTTTTCATTTTTCCTCAGCAGACTGCACCACTCAGCGTTGAGCTCAGGCAGGCAGCACACACCCCAGCAGGCTCAGGGGCCCCGGCAGCCAGGTTAACATCTCCCCTGCACTTTGGAGACCTCCTCTCACCTGGTCACACAGCAAAGGCAGTGCCCACATTCACAGATGGCAACTCGCCATYTCATTTTATGAGCAACTTGCACAGTCTCATTTTATGAGCAATATTAAAAAAAATAAAATATTCACATACTTTGATGACTCCGTAGCATTTTGTATTTTATAATGATCCAAGCACCAGATTTTCTAGAAAATCTGTCTGTTCAGTCATAATAAAACTGTTCAAAGAATATTCCCCATTCTTTTATTTCCAAACAATATTAAAACTCCGCTGCTCCCTATATCTATTTGGTTCTTCCTAATCTTCCTCGCTGACACCCTCCCATGGGAAAAATTGTACTAGAGGGAAAAACATCGTAATCAAATCTGCTACTTTCACAWAGGTTTATGTGGCTGTGAACAAAGACTTCAGCAACGCCTGGTGCTGGGAACTTTATCCTGGAGAGCAGCAGGTCAGGAAGCACTTGGTGGTATCCCGGCTAAAACAAGGCTGCAGTAAGGAGGCTGACGGGAGGGTGGGAGGCCACGACCACAGGGAGCGCCACCATTGTCCTGCACACAAAGCACCTACATCGTGTCCCCCACACAAAGCACCCGCGTCGTGTTGGTGGCGAGCGGGGAGGCTGGGAGGGACACGGAGGCAGCGGCCTCGCGGGGCCGCATCCCTGCGCAGGGCTCCCCGCCAGCACTAGGCGGCTGCAGCCAGGAGGCCTTTTGCTTCGTGCACTGCAAAAGAACTGACCATTATTAACAGGTACAGGGCTTTGAGTGTGGTTAAACCAAACAGGTTCCACCAATGTCTTGTTCAGAAAAGGTTAAAACTACACTGTGAGGAAGCGGGGAGAAAAGTCACCCTCAGCACACACCATCTCAGAAGGAAGACTCCTAGCAAAACAACTGTCGGTTTGATAGAAAGGGATCCTGTCCCAACTTAATCAAAGGAAGCAAGTGACTTTGATGCATTCTTTAATGTGCAACTGTGAGAAAACACACAAGCCACCCATTTKATATCTAATATTAACAGTGTAGCATTTCTAAATTGAGTGATCAAAGTACAGTCTCAGTTGCCACAGTCTTATATGACAGTATTTTCTGAAGTTTATACATGTGCTTTTATCAAAACGTGGAGCCAATGGGGAAAAAAACTCAATGACATTTAGTCATCATTAGTTTTCACTTAAAGTTGTATGAACCTGGTAGGGCAGGTCAAACATCCCCAGTGCAATCTAAGACTATAAAACACAGACACACACACACACAACACCTTCCTTACCTTCAGACTCACCTGGGAATGAATCTACTGCGTTTAAAAAGTTAGGACTGAAAGTCAAGTTGGAAATTCAAGGGAGCTATCCCCAAACAAACAAAAAATAAGCAAAATCCTCTCATTTCAAACAAAATCCATCCAACGATTTGATTGGAGCCTTTCCTAGTTCTGTATTAAAGCCTAAGGCATGTGATGCACAGCTGATATATAATGAAGATCAGTTCTACTATTTCAAATTTATAATTAACATTTGTAGCATTACAGTACCTGAGCTGATCAGTTGAGACGCTGCTTCCTGTTTCCAGTGAGGTCCTGAGATGGTAACAAAAGAATAAAATTGCAAAATATTAAAACTATTCAAAAATCTACGCACATATGTGTCAAATGCTTAAAGATTTTACTACTTTTTCCTCTTTTCTACTGACATTCTGTAGAGCCTAGCATGCCATTAAGCATATWATGGACAGTTTGAAAAAAAAATTAAATTGTAATTTTGTACTTATCCATTTATATTCCTTGCACACAAACTGCTACAGATCAACTTTCGATTGTATAGTCATGTATATGTATGGTCTATGGAGGTTTATATAATTAGCATTAAAATTCCATTAATCATATTGACAGGGAGTACCAGCAAATTAGGTGGAAATCTTCTATTCCCAAGATTCCTAATACATTTGGAGAAATAAAGGAGGCTGTGTAAAGGGAGGGAGCTGTAAAGCACAGCACATGCAARAATTAGCTGTGCAGGAACAGGAGGAAACAGTATTGTCCACGCAACTGAAGAACACACATAGTTTTAAAACAGTTTTTAGGAGTTTTTTCCCACCGTCATTTGTTTGCTACCAGCAGCGCTCGAGGCTTGTGAGGAGCGCTGGGGTTTGGGGGGAACACACGGGCTCCCTGGTACTGCAGGGACGGGAAGGGGGAAAGGACCTTGCTGAGAAGGGGCTCGGGCGCCAASGCCGCGCGCCTGCCCAAGGGCTCCCCGCTCTTACCCAAGGTTCCTCAGGTTACTTCAAAGCAGGCTTTGTTCTCTAGGCCTTTTTTTAATGGACAGAATGGGGGAAGCCTGGCACATGGCTCCTGGGAGAAGCAGCAGCAAGGCCTAATGCTCCAGCCTGCTTACTCCATACTGGGGCACTGATTCAAGACACTTGTTCACAGAAATTCTTGACATTTTACTCATTGCATAAACTGTAACTAAACCTGGCGCAAGGGACTATGTGCAGCTGGATTATTTGAAGCCAATATGGTCAGCGCGGAGCTTGAAGGGACATAGCAGGTGGCTGTAATAACCTCTTSCAAGCCCAATAAAATTCCATGAATTACAGATTTATGAAACGCTGGAATTAGAAACCTTCTTAGGACTTGCATTGATTTCCCTTTGCTAGTACAAATACTACAAAATAGCCTACTGCTTCAGAGTACTGTGCRGAAGAAAATAATATTCCTAAAAGATCACTCCAAAGCTCAGACAGTTGCAGTCTCATCCAGAGCTCTCTGCTAGTAGAGCAAATCCCATTCCACTTTAGACCATGGTCTTCCAGCCAAGTCCAATTCCCCAGGCCACAAGCCCACTACTAATGCTGTCTATATGTGTTTCTCATGAAAGTGGTACAGTGAACAAACCTGAGCATATAGAGTTTCTAAGAGGAGGCAAGAAATAGTTAAAATATCATACAAAAATGCTCTAGTAGGTTTAAGTGAGAAGCTTAAGATCAGATTCTTAGCATCTTCAGCAATGACATGTTCTCCTCTGCGGCTGTTATTTTTTATGATTTAAAAACAATCTCCTTTAGATTTCTCCTAGGTACAAAATCACTCTGAAAATTAYGTCTGAGCCTGCATAAGATGTTGTTCCTTATGTTATATGGATACAGAATAGAAATAAATACCTTGAAGAATCTACAATCTCAAGTCTTGTATTCTTCAACCTTAATAATAAATAGAGTACTACAGATTTGGGAGACAGCACTGCAGACAGAAAACTTAATTCAAAATACCCTGTTTCCTAGGATGGGACAGAGCCACTCCAAACCATCRTGGTATTCTTAGGAGAGACATGAATACGACCACAGCAGCCACTGGCAAGAGCACCGCAGCGCAGCCCCGTCCTCGCCCAGCCTGGAGAAAGAGAAGCTGCTGGCAGTGTCTGCAGCGGCTGCGCCAGCGCTGGGCTCCGAGCCCCGGCGCGCAAGGCGGAGGCTCTCGCCGCACAGGGCAGATGGACTTGTCAGAGTCTGCGCATGGTCCCATCAACGTGTCGTCAGCTGGCACAGGAAGACACCATCGGGGCAGATGATATAATTTTGGTTGGCTCAAATCCCTAGTAAAAAACTCCATCTTTGGTAAGAAGGGGAACTCCCTGGAAGCAAAGAGAAGGTGTCTGCGAGGGACAGAATGACAGCCTGGAGCGCCTGAGTACAGGCAGAGGGAAGGGCTGGAGCTCCACCAAGCCTACAAGCAGGACTGCAGCGCAGCCTCCYAGTGCTCAGCAAAGCAACCCCGCACAATATATTAAATATTGAAGACACTGTGCTAGATACTGCTCAGTGAGTAATTGCTGCTTCTCAGTGTCTCCATACAGAYGCGAATTCCTGTTAAACCAGCAGCACACAAAAGAAAGCAGTGCTTGAAAGCACTCGATGCTCCACACACTGAGACACAAAGGAGACCCACATTTTTTCTTTGTATTCCAAACTGCAGGTTCATTAAATGCAAATATTGAACCTTGCTTGAGGGGGTCTGAAAGCTAGCACTGTTTAACACTGTACCTCCCTGTCACAGCGTTGCATTGCTTAGGCAAGGGAAAAACATCTTTTTTTTTTTTTTTTTTTTCCTTTTAATCAAGGCAGCATAAATAATTACTGACATCTCCTAATTTAGCTCTACTGACACCTGTGAAAAGATATCCAGTCAGATGGAAGAGTGAGTTCCAGGGGTGGCAGCACCGCTGTGAGCACCTGCAGCAGCAGTTCATAAGTGCCCTGTCCCGAGCCCCCGGCCACCCACGGTCACCGTGCACTGAGCTGCTCTGCTGGGATCACCTGCGTTCCCCTCTTCCCGGTAAAGCTAAGGCCACCCCAGGAACTTGGTGTAACTTGGTCAGCCTGGCAGGCCTCCAGGATGTCGAGCCTGCAGCCCAAACCCTTCAGCTGCAGGTGAAAGCCCCAGKTGCCCTCCCAAGGGCCTAGGGTACACAGAAGCACGCAGTGTCACGCCTGGCTGGCACAGAGCACTGGCATTGCCCTGTGTTTAGTTAACGACTCCAGCACCCMGGCCGCAGAGCCCCCACGCTCCCTGAGGATGCTCATAGGCCCCGAACTGCTGGCTGGGCGAGTGGCAGAGGGGCTCAGTGCGAGCCCCTCATTAGCGCAGCGCTGCCCGCGGGGAGGCCGCTCCTGCCGCAGCCGGGCCCGGCGGCCGCCTGCTCGGCGCTCACCGAGCCCCAAGGAACGGCCGCGCGGCAGGAGCCTCTGCTTTCAATAGCGGGGATCAGAAGCTAATGAGGAGATTAGGCTCCTCCCTGAGATTAAGAGGAATCTGAGGCCGACATAGCCAACAGCTCTGATCTACTGGCTGTCCTGGGTGAAGTGCCATTTAGCAGACAAGCAGCTGAGTCCCGCACTAATGAGTGCCAGGCAAGCAAGTGTAAATATCTCAGCAGCATCACGTAACAGTGTGCTAGGCCGGCTGCTACYCGTGCCCTGGGCGCAGCTCTGCTCCGCTGCAGCACCACTCTCCCCCGCCCCAGTTTTCAGCAAGGCCTGGCTCTGCACGGGGCCGTATTGCGAGGTTTTGCACGTTCAAAGCGGGAGCCAGGAGCCCTGCGCTGCTGGAAGCCTCCCGGCGCTCACGGGTGACTCGCACAGTCTGTCCTCTGACAGCCACAGAGCTGGATGTGCAACAAGGCTGCAGCCCTGCAACGAGCACTCACAGAAGCTGAGAACACAGCCCAATGAAACCTTTTTTTCTTTTAAATGTAGGTACAATTTSATAACATTTCTGACATAACTACTGCTGGTCATCTCTGAAAACTTAGCACTAAGAAGGAGCCCCTAGGAACTTTGAAGAACATCCTTAAACAGCTCTCCTTTTAATTTCCCTTCCCATGCAGTGCACTCTGAGCATTTTAATGAACCATTCAGACAAAAAAGCACTTAAATATGTGCTTAATGCTGCCCTAAGGAATAAAAAGCTTCCCTCRGTTGGGGTTTGAATGAGTTGGCAGATTCCTGAGTCGAGATCAGTGGAGTTTGCTGGTATAGAGGTTTTTCCTGTCTTTCAGTGAGCACCGGATCATACTTCCCACCCTTCCAGACAGCAGCTTCCCAAGGTCTCTAASAGTGAAAGCTGGATTATGAGTCTAAGCCCAGATAACAGAGTGCTGAGAAAAGCAACCGACTGATAAAAGGCTCCTGCTGGATCTCTTCCAGGTACCACACAGTTGAGCGCCCTGAAGATCGCACAGGGGAAAAAAAAATCTTTAAGGAAGACTTTGACACACTATTTTGAGAAATACCCTAGCTCAAACCTTGTAGTAACGCATCATATAGCGCAAGATGTTGTTTGAATCTTAAATTTGAAAGATTTCCTACATTTGCTCCTGAAAAAAAAATTTGAAGGTTCAAGCRCCCTCACTACTCTCTTACGATGCTGCTTAAGATGCCAGCAACTGTGCAAGCTCCATCCAGCTTTTCCCAAGGAKCTACAAGGCTCCTGGCCCCTTCTCATATCAAGGAACCATTCCGATGTCATTAACAGGCTAAGAATTTATTAGCTATTGAATCACTAACCAGCACTGTTATTCAAGGTGATATCTTGTCAGAAGAACTGTTYTCCTATTGAACTCCTGCAGCAATGTGGTTGCAGGTTTATTTGTTAGAAGCCCTATCATTTAAACCACAATTATCCCCAGAGTTACATGAAGATCAGATGCTTATAACCAAGCTCMACGGCAACTTGCAGCTCAAATTCAGGGCCATAAAAACAAAAYGAATCCATACATGCATCATGGGAATTGAGGTTTTCCAAAGAAGGAAGAGAAAGTGCATTGCTGATAGCAGCAGCCAATGGCATATAATTAAATTTACGGACATTAAAATTTCCAAATCTATGTTTAATTCTCTRCAAGGCAAATGTCCAGAATGCTAATGTAATCTGAGAACTGAAAAGTCTGAAAATGTCTTGGTCAATGACATGGCAGAAAACTCTACATTAAAAATTCTGATTTGTGTCTACTATGGTCAGAAGTGGATAGGCCTTCTTGTCTGAGAATCACCTGCGAAAAGCAGTGTTTATAGATGTCA